ACATTATCGAATAAAGTACAATCGATACTGTTCTAAAGCGACGGTGTGCGCACACAGTTGGTAACTGACCAAATCGTCTGTATTCGCCGCGATGCGATGTGAGAGAGTGAGGGCATGTCTCTTTCGTTTACTTTTAGCTTGTTTTAGTTACTTATTTTTTGTTTTGCTCTTTGTTTTTATTTAAATCGGAGTTTAAAAATGAATAGCCGAGGTAGATGTGTGGTTAATTTCGTATTAAAACATAAACAACAAAGTCACGGTGAAACCACGTCTAACGAAAAAAAATATAATTAACTCGGTAAGTATTTACAATTTTGTTATATCCCTTCATAATAGCAAAAACAAATGATCTAAAATATCACTTATGTAACTAGTTCCTAAATATTTTTAAAATAATTAGTTCTTTATGTTGTTTTTTCCTATCCAAGTGACAGACAAGAAAAACTCTCGAAAAGAGGAGATTCGATAGTGTTCTAGGTGGATGTAATTTCGACAAAGTTGTAACTGGCACTTTCGGTATACGTGTTTATTTCTAGTCTTAGAGCTATCGAATGTACCACTTTCCATGGTTTTTTGTGGAGTACATCTATCGAGTCTACCAGTTACAATGTTGTTCTATGCTAGATACTTCACAAATTGGCAGATTCGATTTTCAAAATGTTTAACTGTGAGTGTAAAATAGGGTGGTTTGCGTTAATATTAGACATAATGGTTGACGATTTCACCATCTCAGCCAGCCGTGAACATGGGACCTGTAAAGAGCCTGAAACCATGGTTTGTTTGAAAAAATAAATGTACACGATTTAGTCTGATTTCATATTTAAAGCATGTTACTACAAAATATGTTTTTTCTTAGAATCTCCTGTATGTGACAACAATTATTCTAAAAAAGAATTCAAATTTGTAAATGATATTTACAATGATGTTTTTTCCTCTTGGTCTGCAGAAAGTGACAAGATATGTGATAGACTGACAATTGAGTTCCACAGCGTTTAGTAGCCTAATAGTTCGACCTACCACATCTCAAGTAGAGGCCGTGGGTTCTATCCAGACTCGTATCTCTGAGTTTTTCAGAATTTACGTGCGAAATTTCATTCGAAATTCACCATGAGCATTCCGGTTTAAGGAAAAACATCGTGGTGAAACCTGCACGTCGAAGAAGATTCACAAAACTGGGAAAACGTGAGAAGTCCCCAACCGCATTGGTCTATGGTCTGAACCTTTGTCTGAGAGGAAATATGAATATGGTCTAAATCTTTGCTTGAGAGGAAACCCATGCCCAGGAATGGGTCGTATAAAAAGGTTGATGATGATGATGAAGCCGTACTGAAGAGCAGGTGTTGACTTATGACAAGCTCATTTCAAACAAGGTAACCGCACGAAAATCTAAAGCACAAGTCATGAAAGATTTACTTGATGGCAATTAAAACTGCATCAAAAATAGTATACGCAACATACGATTTCCAAAAATTTCTCTTGGAGCAAACGACGCAAACTTCCAACCGGTAGCTGTTTATTAGATTTTGTTAAATAAAATACAACTAATGATACAGTAGACATAGAATTTTGGTCCGACAACAGCTCTGGGCAGAAATCGCAATAGTGATATACAGCTTTACATGTATGCCAGTAATAAATATAATATCGACATCACACAAAGATTTCGTGTTCCTACACGGGTTTTTGTGATGTTTATATAGTTTTCCTAATGTAAAAGATTCTTGACAAATTGATTTTATGTAATAAATATCTTATTAAAAAATTAAACTATTTTTTTTCAGATCTAAATGGCGTATATTTATTTTTTCAAAAAAATTAACTTGTCGGGCCCTTTACAGGGCCGGCACCTGACGTCAGTCGTGACTATGGGACATGTCAAGGGCCCGAAACGTTGGTTTGTTTGAAGAAACAAATAATAATAATAATATAACGCACACACTCAACATAGCACTAGGGAAACCCTGTGTCGCGGGTGCCATGGACACACACATAGACAACCACAAATTACACCCAAACTCACGAGAGAAATAATTGTAGGCCATACAAATATTTCTCCCGGCCCGGGAATCGAACCTGGGACCTCTGCGTGGCAGTCCGGCATGGTAACCGTTCGGCCACGGAGGCAGTTAAATACAAGCGACTTAGATCCGAAAAAAAATAGTTTCACTTTCTAAGTGTAACAATCGCAAAAACCTAAGAACTCGATAAACACCTTATAGTTTCACTAAGAAGTAAGTAACAATTAGCAGCAGTAGAGCTCCTTGGGAAATAGTTCGTCCTGGTATGTACCACCTTTACTATTTGTGCCGCCAAGCAAATAATGTGAGCATTACTGCGTTCCGGTTTTGAAGGGTAAGGGTTCTTGTGAAATTAAAGGTACATGGGACTTGTCAAATTATGTTTAAGGGTGACAGGCGCAGTAGCCCTCAGATCTTTGCGATTTAAAGCTCTGAGTGGCACTGCAACTGTTATGGATAGGCGTGTAGCTTACCATCAGGCGCACGACTTGTGTGTGTTTGTGTGAACAAGACTGAAACTTGTCATGTTACTTATTTTTTCAATGTAATTTGATGATTGTAACATAAATGTTACAAAGTAAAAAAATATTTACATAAAAAGACTCAAAGAACTCATGCTACAGTACAAAAGTTCATTTAAGATATTATAGTTAGAAATTACTTTAATTTGTCTATGTTATTCGTAATGAATTCCATACAAAAAATGGATTTATTTCATAATTAATATAGGTTAGTAAATTATAAAATCAGTGCTTGGTTTTGGTATCCTTTTCTCTTTCAGACCGTAAATTACTTGGTATAAATAATCGAAAGTGTTAATTTTTTATCGATTCCATAAAAACTATCAATGAAAAGTACTGAAACTGATTGATGATGATGATGATGTAGATTCAACATTTGTTCAAATTTTACAAGCCCTGAATACTAACGAATCCACCACTTTCGATTAATTTCTAGCAAATTCTAACAAGGTAAACTAGAAAAATAGGTACATAAAATTTTTAAATCATGCTAAGGCCTAAGAAAAACACATAAAATTAGCTATCATAATTGGGTGTCACTTTCACGACACTATTAAAATTTATTATTCTAAGTCAAAATATAATTTCAAACTGCTCTATAAGTGTGCATTTTGTTGTTTCGATACTGTACGTTGCAGCAGTCGACATACAAATTGAGATTAAAGATCGACGTTAGTAAGTGTGACTGCTCAAATACATTATTATTATTAACTTTTCGCCGTGTTTCGTGTTGTCCTTATGTATTCGTATTTAACCTTAATTGCACTTCCCTGATCCTCTCCTCCAAATTATTTTCCCTTTCCATTGTTTTCCGTGAATAAGATTCCCCGTTTTGCAGTGGCACAAACGCAAACCGCGAAGTGCCAGAATCAAAACAAAAAAAACTTTTCGTCTTAAATGTTTCACAAAAATCCATAAATCCAAAAATCGCACAAAATAGAGTTTAACTTAGTATCTCCGGAAGTTTCAAAAATTTAAATAATGTTTATGATTCTCATTCAAATAAGAAACATTTAAAATAACAAGATTTAAAATTTAAGTTCATTTAATCATTGTTTCATAGTAATGAGCACAGATAATACAATACTAGTAATGAAATGAGTAAAATGCATTACGATCTCTATAGTTTGTGTAAAATGTGGCTTTTGGCCACCTACACGCCATCTGGCTGCCAACCTGATAATGCTGATAATGAATTACTATATATTTCTAATTCGTGAATGAGTGCTAAAGCTCTTTCATTCCACTTTCATTCTTTTAATGTTCGTTCGTTTCAGGGTTGCCAGCCTAATTTGAATTGTGCTTAGTTTGTAATACAGTTTGTCTAATACAGGTACTTCCTGTAACAGCCACTATATTCCACAGCTGGACACGTATTGTTGGGAATTAATTTAATAATCGCTGGACACATGCAAGTAAGTAAGTAATTTATACGTCAGAATAAAGTTGTGAAGTGTGTATTCTGTGTCATGCACATTTCCTACTAACGCTACCCGGTAAGCCGTAAAGAAGTCGCAGAAAAATTGCTACTAATAGTACGTACATTACTGCAGAGGCCGGGAAGTAAGGGATTGCTGGACGAGTATGAGTCACAAGGCTGAACGCTAGAGAGGCCTTATATACATACAAGTCAAGCATTCCCCGTTCCCGCCGAGGCATATTATAATGTTTTTCTCAAACAATGTGAGGAAATAGTAAAAGACCAAAGAGAGGAACATATATAACAGAAAAAAATATTAATTAATATTAAAAGTAACATTTGATATTTGGCTAATTTTGCCTTTTGTTTTAAATTAGGCCGAGCACTATCCATTACTACATTACTACATTAATTTATTTTTAATATCGCTCTTCTTACTAGAATTCATTTCAGTTGGTTGTACGGGTTTTTCTATTACCTGTTTATATAGTTCATTGTTAGTAGATTTAAAAGTTTAGAGCAGCGGACAGTAATGGACAACAGGTACCTATGAAATACTTACTTTGCAGGCCTTGGCCAGAAACAAATCGCACAGTCCATAAATTACAAACTTCCCGTGTTCCCGTCGTTTTTTGAAAGTAATGCAAACGAGTATCTTTGAGAAAAAATAATAACTACGAAAATAGGTAAAAATGTCAGTACATAAAACCAAAAATTAGAAGAATCAACTTATCATGTTTAAACTGAACGTATATTGTAAAAGTCAACAAACGAAATAAATCCAGTCTCAAAAATTTCCACAGAGACGAAATAAAAATACATACAAGGTGATTTAAATAAAAAAATAATAAATAAAACGATATTTTCTTCACATATTAAATTGGCAACATTTCATTTACAACTCCGTGAGTAGATGGCGCACGTATCGGTGTATGAAATTATTTTCATTCAATCAATTCGAAAGATCCTTTGACAATTTCACTCAGTCTCATTCATTCTTCATCGACCGACACAAGCTGTCGGTCGTCTAGCTTCTACGCATTACACAACAAAGAAATTGCCGAAAAAAATGATAATGTTAACATAAAACGTGAATAAAACAGACTGAATTTATGTTAGTAGTGTAAAGACGTTATAAAGGACAGATTACTTGTGAAACACGGTTGACGTGTTGCGAATTTGTCGATTTATCGACCTCCTTGTTTATATGTTTAGTAAACGGGGTTGTATCTTTTTTTAGTGTTTGTTTTGCAAACAGATTACGTACCCTCTGTTTAGTAAATAATTGATTGGTGCTCGATGATCTTACGGGTGTGTATGTGGTAATGTGTAGTGCTGTATAGTGCGGTAAGGCGGTCAGAATGCGATCGGGCGGTGGGCTTCGGCGGCTGGCGCTTTTGGTGCCTGTAGCAGTGATGCTGGGCGGGTGGGCTTCTAGCGCTGACGCCGCAGAGTCCTTCCTGACCAGCATCAGCCGCAACCTGCGTGCGGAGATGTCGGGAGTCCTGGAAATGGCCGTTGTGAATTACTCGAAGCCAGTGTTGAACGCCACCTACACGGCGACTGTCGAGTTCGACATGCGCGCCATGGGGCCCATCTACAACTCCACGCATATTGTCGTCGACGCCATCGCGCACAAGGATGCCTACCCTGAAGGTACCTTTCAGAATTTTTGATTTTGATTTTTTAATTATTAGCTCTCACTCCTAGCTATATATATTCATCTTTTCTAGTCTTTACTATTTCATCTGTCTTCATAAATATCATAATAATACATAATTCTTCAACTTTGTTCTTAATAAAAATTAAGTTACGTTTTATTGCTATAAATAGAGATTGCTGTGACAAAGAGATACCATTAGAAAGGTTTTGCTCAGCACTAGGACATTATTGCAGGTTAATAAAAAAAAAATAGAAATCGACTACAAAATTTTCAATCTTCAGGACTACACTGAAGACTTAAATCGAAACATTTTACTGAAGAAAATGAGGAACTATGATTCGGCAGTATGGTCTCTGACCTGTTCCATGCGGAACAGAAAAAAAAAATTCAAACTTCATTGAGCATTTGACTGCATTAACTATGTTCTTAGACAGTATTAACAATGCACTCTTGTTTTAGATTGTGTTTCCTGCTAGCATTTAGTAATATTTTGATAATTTTATTTTTAATGTAACTCAAGTAAATAAATTTTATTTCCAGAACTTATCATAACAAACATAATCAACATTTTTAGCGAAAATGAGTTATTAATATATCTGGGATCAGCAAAACAAGATGTACAACTCCTTCTAATCGGTTTTTTAATGCCTTATTTAGTTTCAGTTCTATTTTTTGCACAATCAGTGTAATCGACTTTTTTTAGGTGACAATGAACCTTAGGTGCCAACATCTCAAAAGTTATTGAAACGGAAGTGTGTTAGTTATGTCAAGGAGGTCGGAATACCAGCTTAACTTTCCGTCCTAATACATAGTAATTTTTTTTACTGAAATGCATTGTCAGCATTTGTTAATACATATCTGAAAAGTGCAACAATACATCTGATCACGAACCATAGCAAGAAAATTAAGAAAAAAGATCGATGGCATTTTGAAGGCATTATGCAGTACGATAGGTGTGTGTGCGTGCAGTGATGTGAAACTAACATTTCCATACAATGGTTTGCAGAATAACAATGGTGTTGACCTGCCCTCTACAGTCCTGTGCATTGCTTGTCAATATATTGCACGACTTCATACAAGCTCTTGTAATAAACTTGCATAACTTCTACACATGTGTAGTTTTGAATAAGTTGAAACACTATGCTTTAATGCCATATTGTTTCAGATGTTAACTGAATCCATATATATAAAAAAATTATGCTACAAGGAACAATATAAATTCTAGACAAATCATGTGATAATATGACTTCACTTATTCATCATTTATAACAGCTATTAAATTAAAGTGTGTTTATGAGTGACTCACACTATGATAGTTAAAATATTATGACTACAATAAAAATGCTTAACAGCACAGTTCTATTGTTACCTATTACTGAAAATCTATGATGATAACCACTTGGGAAACTGGCCATGTAAGCTCTGTACCTTATCTTTTTTGTAATTAACAATTATTTTGTTTTATTTAATTTTCTACCATTGTTGATAATTGGTTACAAATAATACTTGTGAATCTATTAATACTAGAGAAAAAATAAGTAATATTCCAAATAATTCATCATTTTAGTAACAATACAGCTCCTTCTGAAAGGGTTAATCGAGGGAAGTACTGCCACCTTACTTATTTCTGCCGCCAAGTTGTAATGTAAGCATTACTGTGTTCCAGTTCTGAAGGACAAGTGTGCTGGTAAAAATACAGGCACTTGGGACTTGTCAACTTATGTCTCATTAGATCTTCGCGATTTAAAGCTCTGAGTGGCACTACATGTTCATCTTGTCACTCAGTATCACAAAAAAAAATCATCTGACAATCAACTACAATTATACACAACATGTAAAAGAAAATATTGATATTATTTTTGCTTAAACAAACAGTGTTATTTTAAAGGACATATAATACTACAAAAAAAAAATTACATGGGAAAATACTATTGTAACACATTCTATACATGTAATGATCCATTTTCTGACAAAATAATGTAGACGCATACATACTTTTATATTAGGAAATTATGTTAAATTAAAATTGCCTATTAGTCGTAAAGTGGCTACAATGTAATTAGTTATAAGGTTGTGCTTTATAACAAATAAAAAAAATATATTTTTGCTGAATGTACTTGTTTAATGTTAGGAAATGAAACTATTTTTCCAGATTTAAATTGCGTATATATTTGTTTTTTTTTAAACCAACGTTTCGACGAAAACCTAAGAACTCAATAAGTACAATGTTGTTTTAAAGGACACATACCTAATACTACAGAGAAAAATTACACACGGGATAATACTATTGTAACACATTTTATACATATAAATATTGCGCACAAGAGGCGTAAAAACCAATTTTGATAAAGATCACTAATTGATTGTTGTTTTTTTTATGTGTGTTGCACTTTATCTCTACAAAATAACATAATTCGCAATTGTGGTTGTTAAACTAAATTTTCATGTTGGTTTTTATCTGTATTTACTCGTTTTTTTACTTGATCAAAAAATCTACTACGTAGTAATAAAAAAAAATGTGAATTCCATCTTTATCAACCGATAAGATCATTTTGAGAAAATGGCGCCTAAAGATTTTTTCGTGGTTTGGCTAATTAATATGTGTCAACTGTATTTACTATGATGCGAATGAAGCTTCATACTTGATGTTTTTCTTTTAATTTTGTCGAATATTACTTATTAGACAGTAATTGTTTCGGACGTATGTCAGACGGAGATCGAGAGTAGACCCCCAGTTCCGAATCCGAGAAATGACCATCCGAAATGTCACAGGGATCATTTTATCTCTAAGTGTACAATCGGTGTTCCTATTTTCTCGGATTCTAATCGGATTTAGTGCACAAACGACATCCGAGTTTTCTAGACTTGTAAAGTTTTTTTTATTTATTTTTTTTATTGTGACTCGGCAAAATGACTGCACCGCGCCTGATGGAAAGTGCGAATACAGTCCAGAGATGAGAGTAACAGATGGAAAACACAAATATCTTCACTCCGTCACTATCATTTTGCCGGTCTGGCCAAATGCTTCTTCACACTACGTTTGAAGGACCCGATGTTATAGAGGGGAGGGAATACATGCGCCGGGAGTTGGTTCCACAATTTGATGGTTCGGCATAAAAACGAATTGCCAAACTTTTTAGTGCGGGACGGTATTGAACTGACCGTCCAACTGTGGCAACGCAGTCCGGCACGGGTGGTCCGCTGATGGAAAGGAGAGGAAGGGATAATAAAGTCTTGGATTCCGAACGAATACGACCGGATGCAGCCGGATGGAGTGCGCAAACACGCTTAGGGTTATGGTATTTCAAAATGCATAATGCTCTCTCTGTCTAGACATTAGGAAAGTTAAAGAAAAATTACGAGTTATTGAAACGAAACAATTTTTACAACTGCGAACGGATAAGTCACAACTCTAAAAATTACTTTCTAGGGCGTGTCTAATGAGTTTGATTAGTTAAAACTTAAAATGGAATCAAACATCGTTTATATACAGCGCGGTTATAGGATTGCTGATGCTTTTGTTTAATTTTAACTCAAGCAGCACAATACGGATCGTTCTGGCAATCTTAGAGCGAGTCGTATGCCTAGCAGTGGAAGTCTTTCGGCAGAAGAGTTCAGATGATGATGAACTCAAGCAAACAACTTGGTTTGGAATAGATTTTTTTATGAAAGCAAAAGACAGGACAAGTCGTGCGCCTGGTGGTAAGCGACACGCCTGTTCATAGCAGTTGCAGTGCCACTCAGAACTTTAAATCGCATAGATCTGAGGGGCACCGCCACTGCGTAGTCACACTGAGACGTAAGTTGACAAGTTCCATGAGCCTGATAATTTCACCAAGACCCCGTCCCTTCAGAATAGGAATGTCGTTTTTACTCACATTGCTGCTTGGCGGCAGAAATAAGTAAGATGGCAGTATTTCACTGGACGAACTCTTTCACAAGGAACTACTGCTACTAATAATTGGACGTAGTTAAGCAAAAAGGAACCAATCCACAAAAATATCAAAAAAATAGTTATATGTACCAAACGGTTCCTAAAGTCTAACATCTTAGATCAGCAAAAAGAATTCAACATATAAACGTAAATAAATATCTCTGGAGTTACATGACATAAGTTTTGAAAATAAAACAAGACTGAGAAACACTTTTAAACTTTAAACTGCCCATATCTTGAAAGTGACTGGATATGCATTCGATCCTTTTTCTTTAACTATGTCCAATTGAGCAATTCTATTGTTGACTTGTTTCAAAAACAATCAAAGGCTTAGGTTTTCGCGGTTGCTTTACTTTGGAAACAGACGTGACTATAAAGAAAGGATAAAAAAGAAAGATACGTTTATTCAGCTTATTAAGATTTATTATATATTATAGAGCAAAACAAATTAATGGTTACAAATGTAAGCTGAAACTGCTCCAACTCAGCATGCTCGCCTGCTGTGACATTGGTTTTTAGTTGGAACCACTTCTAGAAGATTAAATGGCACGAAAGTACCAATGTTACTTAACACCAAAATTATAAATATATATCTTACAATTTAGCTAAAAACAAGTAGGTAAATTACTAACAGGAATTATTACATGAATTGAATGTACGAAATACTGCACTTGTTAGACATTTATAAAGAAGATTTCTGGAAAAGGCTGCTGTTGAGGAGTAGTGGGAAAATCTGGCTCAAAGTAATGCAAAATAAAATTATAATTTAGAGAAAAACTATCTAAAGCAGAATAAACAAAAATAAAAATAAACAAAATGGAGTTGTAAAGAACCAGAAACATCTACGTTACGTTCGAAAAAATAGTTTCGTCTCATAAATTTAACTGAAATCACATGAAATCTCTTCAGTATTTACGTATACCGGCGACATGACGGCACAAGTGTACGTCACTATTCGGCGGATGTACAAAAATACTTCACAGAAGCTCCCTGCAGGATAACGAAGATCCTGTCTTATATCCTTTTAAAATTTTCAACCGTTTTTTCGTTCATTAATAC